CCCGCCCCCCCCCCCCAAAGAATGGGGCTCAAACAAAGGCTTCGTTTTATACTCTATTAGCTCAAGTTCAGGCTGTTCAGCCAGTAATTAACTTCTTTTTACAAAAAATGAAAAGAATTAAAATTTTAGATTATCAAGAGTCTAATAAAAATGTATATGATCGAAGTGCTGACATTCCGATGGCATTTTTCACAATATTAATTTATCTGTGGCATGCTTAACTATCATTTGGACCCGGTCAAGTTTCAAATTACGGAAAATCACTGTAATTAAACTACTAATTAATTATTAAAGAGACGAAGAACCCGATTGGCATTGCTTTTGAAAAGTCAGAAGGAGCTTTTGAGGTTCAAAAGCTATTTTTTGACCTGTTTTACTAATTTTGTTGAAGTGCTTTTAGTGGTTTGAAAAACTTTTAGAGAAAGTTGGTTCAATGTCTTTTTCTAAAAGTACTTTCGAAATAGAAAATACTTTTAAATATCAATTTTCAAACAAAAATTAAAATAACTTCTTTTAAAAGTTTTTTTACAAAAAGCAAAAGTAAAAGATACGTCAAACGGGCTTATAATCCCGGACATAATTTTTGAGCTTTTTGATTTTGTCAGAGATGACGCTACTGTCATGCCGACCACTCGACTGTAATTTTATCCTGCCAACTCATCATTTTTGCCAGGTCATCCTAAACCAAGCGCCCAAAATTCCCCACGTGCTATTTTCTGACAGAAACCCCGTGTATTGTTTGCGTATGAGCTGGCAATTTTTCCATATATAAAAACCATTTGAATTTTGACCTCTGTTTCCAGCAATAAGAAATTCATCAACTCAAAGTCAGCTCTCAAGAAACATGCAGAGGTCAGCCAAGAGATTCAAACAAGAGGGAAGTACCTCAATGAACAACCCACCGTTGACACCTCCAACTGAGGCGGCGCCACCTCCCCGGCTTACGAGTGAAGAGGAAGTTTCCGTCATGATAGCTGCGTTAAAGAATGTCATTACTGGTGACACCGCCAATTGTCATTTTGAATATGCTGCTGCCACTTCTTTATCACCTTCTTCAACAAGTCTTTCTCAAGGGGACCAGGTGTTATTTTCAGTTGCTCAAGATACAGAGACTTGCCAGGTTTGCGGAATCCAAGGGTGTTTAGGGTGCAATTATTTTGGACCGGCCATGGCGGTGGCCGCGGTGGATGAAAGGAAGAAAAAAAATGTGGTAGTGAAGAAAAAGAAGAAGAACTACAGAGGTGTAAGGCAGCGGCCATGGGGGAAATGGGCGGCGGAGATTCGGGATCCTCGCAAGGCAGCAAGAGTGTGGCTTGGTACATTTGAGACGGCGGAGGATGCAGCGCGGGCTTATGATAGGGCGGCGATTGAGTTTAGAGGTCCACGAGCAAAGCTTAATTTCTCTTTTGCTGATTACACCGACGCCTCCACCTCCGCCACGGCAGCGGCCGCGGCCAATCACAATCAGCAGAAAATGGTGCATCAAGAAAATGCAAGAAATAACAAGATTCCGACAGAAATGAGAGTTGGGACCAGCAATGAGAAGGATTTCTGGGATGCGATTGGAGAAGATGAAATTCAAGAACTGATGATGACAATGATGATGGATTCCAGTGGACAAGATTCATCAGATTCTGCCAGTAGGATCTAATAAATTACAATATTAATAAAAAACCCATTATAATTTAGGTTCTTATACATAAATTTCTGCATTTTTTTTCTTGTGAAAAATGTCCCAGCAAAAATTCCAGATTGTATTGCAGCTGACATATTTAACAAATTTATTAAACAGTAGAATGGAATTATGTGAATAAATTCTCTTTGTTTGGATTATAAGAGTATTCTCGGTTTTCGAAAAAAACCTCTATTTCGTACTTTTGTGGATTTTCGATATCCTGATCTATACTATATTGAAGGAAAATTTATTTAATCCATTTGATTACGTGAAGCTCACAATCTCAAACTAATCGAAAAAATATACAGGAAAAATAGTTCTTTTCTATTACATCAAGAGCTGAAAGACATACACAAATATGTATACACATGTTTTCGTAACTAGAATGATTACATGTTAGGAAAAAAAAAATTATGTGAGGACGAAGATGAATTTGTTTTCTTTCTTATTAAATAACATTATCCTTTTGTTATTTTCGCTCCTTCTTCAGTTGAAATTTTTCGGAAATAGCATAAAACAAATAAATGAGTTCACTGTCCTCGTGGCTAAATTCACGTGATTTGACAGAAAACACATTTTAAGAAGCACACTTTCCAAGCTTTTTCCAAAGCAATTGTGAACACACCATTTAAACATTAATGGAGCTTTTCCTATTTTAATTTTGTCTTGTTGAGGTGTGAACGAAGATAGGTAGATACGTTTCTTTTATAAATAAAGTGCAAAGTGAATAAAATTTCACTAAAATTAAATTTCATCATTTCATTAATCTCACAACTTTTATTAACTTTTCAATCACGCACATTACCTTAACTTTGTCAAACAATTCCCAACATTGATATAGTTGTATGACTTATTTTGTGTGTTCAATCAATTAATTCGATAATTAGCAAGACTTAGTTCGTTTATTAACATTCAGTATGTTCATATTGAACAAGTCTATAATCAATCGAAAGGGTTCAGTATTGAGAGTCCTGGCCAAAAATTATTTAGAAAATTCAACTTCACACAAACCTACCGATTTGGATATGCATATCTATACTTGTCAAAATAAAATCTAAGGGTATGTTTGATTGTAAAGATGAAATTCAATTGTCTAAAAATCATTTTCCTATAAATTGTAAATTATTGTGTTTGACTGGTATAAGTTTTCAAGTGGAAAATATTGAAATAAAAGTGTTTTTTAGTTTTCGTTTGACTTTATTTTACATAAAAATTGTCAATTAAAGAGATATAATTTACTGGTATTGAGGATGAAATTTATTTCCATTGCCAAAACCCAAAAAAAAAAATTCAAGAGAATCATCTATCTTTTGGTGTTCGTTTGACTTTGTTTTATATAAAAATTGTCAATTACAAGGAAATTTTTTTTACAATAATTTTTAGAATTTGTTTCCATTGCCAAAAAAAAAAAAGCAGGAATTCGAATTCTCACCATTTTGTTGTGAATTGAAATTTCATCAATAGAAGGAAAATGCTGATGCGGCGACGGTTGGTGGAATTCCAATTCCATGAAATTGAAAGGCAATCAAACAAGCCATTTTGTGAGAAAAGAAATTCCATTTCTATATTTTAGGGAAAATAAGGGCCAATCAAATATGCCCTAATGATCTCTTCGAGACTAAATTTTCTTAACATTGTCTTTAAACTATATATTCACAAAAATAATGCAATTTTGTGCAATTAACAAGAATGAACGCTGTTAATCATATTTTATAAATCTCATTCGCATTGAAACACACGATTAAAATACAAGACAATAAATTATTTTTTAATTTTAAGTATATAATTTTTTATTCTTATTCCATTCTTTACGCCTTTACATCTATGAAGTGCAATCACTGCTAAAATATCACGTGTACTGAAATATAAGACAAGCGGGGCCCAAGTGCTGACATAGCACCTGAGATTATGAACTTTTGTACCGACCGGGTCAGGTCGGTCTTCCCCAATTTGGCTGTCCAAACATATAAAAATAAAAACGAACAGTCACGTACGTAAGACACGTGCTCAAATTGAGGCACTAGAATTGACAACCATCCCTTCAATATGGAGTTCCTACTTGTCAATTCGATAAATTATTAGGTAAATCATTTGATATTTATAGTATAACCCTTAAATAATAGATAACATATGAAACATGTGCTCTATATAATTAAAATAGATTTATTTAATATTCCCTCGTGTGGATTTATTTTTTCTTAGTGCGATTTTAATCATGAGTTTTGGCGTCAAATCATATTCAGCTGGTGTAGTGCTTTCACAGTCGAGATTCAGTAAGATCAAAGTAAAACAGGATAATAGTTTAACTTTTTTTTTTTCTAAATTAATTTTAAATAATATGGTAGTTTGTCAACTCGACGGCTACTATACCAAGTTAGTCGAAATGGCATAAAAAAGTTTGATTTCTTTGCCATTAAAAGAAAATTCTCTATGTTGAGTGTCAATTTCTTCGTCATCCACAAAAATTTCAAATAGCTTGTAATGAAAATTTTTAGACGAAGCATTTTCAAATAGTATTTTCATTTTCCACCACAAATACACGTCACGACGAATATATTAAATTTCAATGTATAGTTTCTTCTAAGCATCTTCTTCTTTTTCCTCAAATGGCAGTTCAGAATTATGAAAAGTTAGAAAGCGTTGTATAACAGAAATAATTACTTTAGTTTATTTTGCTATTTTATATTTTTCCTGTTCTTTTACTTTCATTTCCAATAATCACACTTTATATCTTTCCTGTTCTTTTACTTTCTCTTCCAGTAATCACACTCACCTCGTTCTATGTCACTTTTGAACCATCGAAAATTATTAATTCTGTTTTCACTATGAGAAAAAATTTTAGGCCTTGCTTGACCCGCATTTTATGAAACTAGTTTTCCCTCAAAATAATTTTCAATTACATATTTTATGAAATTCACAAATTTTATTAATTTTTCAACTACTTATTTCGTCAACTTTTATCAAAATGTACAAAAAATATAATTTTTTTTATCTAAACCAAACAGAGGCTTATTGATTGCAGTCGTTTGGATGATGAGCTGAAAAGTTTACTTTCTTGTTGCTTGACCAACCAAGTTCATATGTGGATAACATTATTAGTTACTTAATAATTTAATAATTAAAGTTGAAAAATTATTAATTCTAATTATAAATTTCATAAGATTCACAACTATCATCCACTTATTCGTCACTCATTTAATCACATTATTCTCCTATTTGGTGTAGCTAAAAATTGACATTTTTAGTGAATTTTGATTAAAATTAATGAAATGTGTGGTTAAAATTATTTGTTGATTTGACTTGAATTTTAATCAACAATTTAAGCTATATAAAATAATGGTACCAATTTCTGTAACTTGTAATTTAATCCAAACAAGCACCAAAGATATACGAATAACTAAAAAAGTGTGAAACAATTTCGCATAGATCTGTTTCTGCAAGGGAGTCGGGTCAAAATACTACCGAGTAAAACAAGCCAATTTTCGGCCCAAAATTGTCGGACAAACACACAAATTTGACTGCAAGAGTCTATGGGCTATGGGCCGGCCCACCCAAAACCCAATTATAACCCATAACTAAAATGAACTAACCACAATAGAACAGACACCACATTTACGCGAGTAATACTATGCCACTATTTGAATCCCATTAAATTAAATTATATTATATTTCATTTTTTTCTCTCATATTTTTAACCACACAAGAAAACTTTTCCAACTTTTTCAATCACTCATTTTTCTAGAAAATACTTTCCCCCTAATTTCATTTTCAGGTAACGGACATCAAACAGGGGCTATATATCATCATAATGATAAATCATCGATGATATTACAATCAATTATCCCTCACATTTCTATTTCTTTTAATACAAATTTCATTATTTCACATAGAATGCCATTTATAAATAGCATTGTTCTTTCTTTCAGCACTTAAAAAGTAGAAAACTTCACCGCCAAGCAATACCCGCCACTTTTCCCCGTCAGATCTACGACAATTTTCTGCCAAAATACCCTCTATAAAACCCTAAACTGCTTCCCACATTTCGGATTTTTGTTTTCATCACTCTGTATGTTCGAGACTTCGAAACCATCAATTTCCAATATTTCAAGTTCGAATTTGCCACTTTGATTGAATTTTCTTTACTTCAAGCGATCATTTTTTGATCACTCGGAGAGTGACCACGATGGGTGGTTCACACAGTCGCGAAGGCCTCGAACTTTCCGACTCAGAATATTCTGGCGAGGATGAATCAGAAGTGGAGAGTTCGGAGAATTACGCTGATGCAGAAGATCATACCCCAAAGAGGAGTACTCAGGTCAGTGCCGAAACCCTAGATGCAATTGATTCTAGGCTTCAATCCTTGAAACTAAAATACCCAAAACGCCCATCCTCTTCCACGCCAACTTCCAACGCAAATCTCAAAAATGCTGTGAAGCTTTATCTTCACATCGGTGGCAACACCCCGAAGGCGAAATGGGTAGTTTCGGAGAAGTTGACTTTTTACAAATTTGTCAAAAAAAATGGCGATGATGATGGGGATGACAATGACGATGACGAAGGATTGAACAGTAGGGAGGGGTTCTGGTTTTTGAAAATTGGGGAGAAAATCAAGGCTAGGGTTACAACCGATTTGCAGATGAAATTCTTTGGGGATCAGCGGAGGGTAGATTTTGTGGATAGTGGGGTTTGGGCTTTAAAATTTCTGAAAGATGAGGAGTACAGGAATTTTGTGACAAAATTCCAGGACTATTTGTTTGAGAATGTTTATGGGTTGAGAGCTACAGAGGAAAACAAAATGAAAATTTATGGTAAAGACTTTATTGGATGGGCGAAACCAGAGCAATTGGATGATTCTATGTGGGAGGATGCAGATGATGGGGTGTGGAAGAGTCCTGGAAAGACTCCTGAGGGATTATCTGAAAGAGGGAATCAAGATTTATTGGAAGAGTTTGAGGAGGCCACAACTGATGGTGGGATTCAGAGCTTGACCTTAGGGGCATTGGATAATAGTTTCTTGGTTAGCAATTCAGGGGTTCAGGTTGTGAAGAATTTTAGCCATGGGATTCATGGTAAAGGTGTGCATGTGAAGTTTCACCATGGGAAACTAGGATCCACATCAGCACATTCTGGGACACCCAAGAAGGCTCTCTTGATGCGGGGAGAAACAAATATGATGCTTATGAGTCCATTGAAGCAAGGGAAACCCCATTCCACAGGGCTTCACCAGTTGGATATTGAAACGGGGAAGATTGTCACTGAATGGAAGTTTGAGAAGGATGGGACTGAGATTTCCATGAAAGACATTACCAGTGATGCGAAGGGGTCGCAGTTGGATCCTTCTGAGTCCACGTTCTTGGGGTTAGATGATAATAGATTGTGTCAATGGGATATGCGTGAGAAACAGGGAATGGTTCAGAAGATTGCAAGTGCAGGTTCGCCAGTGTTGCACTGGACCCAAGGGCATCAATTCACCAGAGGGACGAATTTTCATTGTTTTGCCACGACTGGGGATGGCTCAATTGTCGTGGGTTCACTTGATGGGAAGATAAGATTATATTCGAGGACTTCAATGAGACAGGCAAAGACTGCTTTCCCAGGCCTTGGTTCAGCTATTACATCTGTTGATGTGACTTATGATGGAAAGTGGGTGTTGGGCACAACAGATACTTATTTGATCCTGATATGCGCTTTATTCACTGATAAGGACGGGAAAACCAAGACCGGTTTTAGTGGTCGTATGGGAAACAAAATTCCAGCGCCAAGATTACTGAAGCTGACCCCTGTGGATGCGCACATGGCTGGATCTGATAATAAGTTTCATGCTGGCCACTTCTCTTGGGTAAGTTACATTTATTATTAATTTTTGATGTGTACGTGCATTACTAGGTATCGATCCTGCTGGTTGAATTGTTGACCGATATGTGGTATATATGATAATTGCTTGCTTGTTGGATTACACTTAGTATTGTCATTTCTGTTATTTGGCGTCTCATAAGTTGCTGATTTTCCCTCCTTTCGGGTTATAAATGTCAAGACCACTTCCTTGCTGATTATCTGTTGTTTGTTAAAATGTTAGTACGAAAGCTCTCTTCCACCCCTGAGACATTTGGATGTCAGTATATTCAGAGGGCACCATATATTGTGCTGAAATTCAATAATATATATATATATATTTTTTTTCAATCACAGTTATGTGTAAATGAGTTTAATGCATTCATTGGTTATTTTGGGAGGAATAGATCTATTTCAATTACTGCTTTCCATTCCTAAATTATAACTTTGCCTAATTGTGTAGTTATGATAATGCTTATATTTAGCTCACGTTTGGTACAAATTAAAATCCAGATTTAATCTAATTTAAAGTCAGCAACTAATTTCATTTTATGGGGCTCACATCTTTTCTACCACATATTTCATTAACTATTATCAAAATTGCTAAAAATTTGATTTTAATTTTCCATCAAACAGGGGCTAAGTTTAGTGCTCAAGATCATGTTAATGTATGTGACTGACTTCTTCATATATCTAAACGACTATTAGACTATCATTTTACAATAGTGAAATTCATTTTTGTGGTTGTCAGTGTGTTATGTAATGCACTCTTGTTTCTTTTCATCCAGGCGAATTTTCTGATTTTTTATGCTCATTAGGTTACTGAAAGTGGAAAACAAGAAAGGCATTTGGTAGCCACGGTGGGTAAGTTCAGTGTGATATGGAATTTTCAGCAGGTGAAGAACAGTGCACACCATTGCTACCAGAATCAACAAGGGCTTAAGAGTTGCTATTGCTACAAAATAGTATTGAAGGACGAATCCATTATTGAAAGCCGATTCATGCACGACAAATTTGCTTTTAACAACTCGCCAGATGCTCCACTGGTTGTGGCTACCCCAATGAAAGTTACGTCCTTCAGCATGTCGGGCAAGAAATGATACTGCCAGAACATGGATTTTCTGACCAAGATTTTATGTTCCTGTAAATTCAGGATTTTTTTTTTTTTTTGATTGATCCTGTAAGTGGATTTATTTTCTTGTATAATCCTATTAGAATTCTTCCTCTTTAGAGAATCTCGTGTGAGCAATTTTTAGCTTTCTCTTCCCTTTTGTATGAATTCTTTTTGTGGTGGGAGGCATTGAAGTAGATACTGGTGAGATGTGATTTTAATGATTATTTTACTTTTCTGCTGGCGAGATGGGAATTTATTGATTATTTTTACTTTTCTGCTAAAGCTCTCGATGGCGAGGAAGAGAGTTTGTATTGGCATCGAAGTTGCATCTATTGTAGAGGTGTCAAAATTTATCGGGTGCCTAGACATCAGGTTGTGCTGGATAAAGGCTGGTTGAACCTTACCGGCAATATCTTTAACTTCAATTTATGGCTTAATGCCGGGAACCTTAAAACTAGGCAGTTTAGACTACGGATTGATTTAAACCTCCTATCTACTGGCAACATCATCTTCAAATTTGACGTATGGTTAAATGCTTGTAATTTTTTTTCTATCAAACTTAGCCTTTGTTTGACAACCATTATAATGAGAAATTTGTGTAAAATACATTTTGGAATAATAGTTTTTGAGAGAATTTGTCGTTAAAAAATAAGAAAAAGTTTTTTTTATGGACGCGTAATATTATTTTATTGAAGAATTTGTAGTTAACAAGAAGGGAGAAAAATTTATTAAAATTTTAATTTGAACCAAACAAGGGCTTAATATAATTGACTAGACTTGAGAGATGTTACAATGTACTAACGGCTGAAAATCTATTTGTGCTATGAATTGTGACTGGTTCCGTTCCATCTTAGTCGAGCATATGAAAGATATTCCATCAATACATTTGGTCATTTCAATTTCTTCTAGCACAGGATGTCAATCATGGAATGGCCCAATGTCTTATTTTTGGAGTTGGAACGGTTTAATGCACAGGGTGAAATTTGAAGCAAGCAATTTATGTATACCAATACACTTGATTGTAATATTCAAAGGATGAAGCATTCCTCGCAATCTTCCAACAATTTCTAGCAACACAAGGATTCAACCGGGAAAGCCCAATTTGATAATCGAGCAGTTTCGCCGTTCGAATTGTGATATGGAGAAACGTCGTCAGCAACAAACCGAACCCAAGTTCAGTTCTGCAAAAGGGACATCAAAGAGGATTAGAGCCCCCTGTTGCTAGCATGACGAGGCTATTGGCGGATTTGGTTGTTTAAGAATGTAGTTTTAATTGGGTGGCAAATTTCGTCCAAGGCAAAATATTGGCGAGAGACCGATAATGAATAAGTACTATGATGATATACATAGTTTCAATTACTTAAAAATTACAATAATTAAGAACAAGATCAATAATAAGCCATTAAAAACCATTTACTTTTATTTTTAATATTTTTATCAACTATAAAGCGAGGGCGAGGAATGAGGCTCCATTCAATTAGGAAGCAACCTATCTTCATGCACATCCCTTAATTAATCTGATTGATATCCAATATTTCACTCTATTTCCATTTTCTTTCTCTCTCCACCCGAGACTTACCATTTCCTCCTTTACGCCACCACCTCCTACAATGTCCCCCTCCATCTTCCTCCTATGGCTTGTCAGCATCCCTCTCATGATCCATGCCAATACCCAACCGACAGGTATATATCTATCAAACCTTTATATACATTTCTCTGTATCTGTGTATATACGTATGTGTGTGGATGGGCTAAAATCTGTAAATTTGTAGGTTACCTCCTAAACTGTGGCGCCGCTGACGACGTAGAAGAAGGACCCCTCAAATATATCGCAGATGATGATTTCATCACAACTGGAAACAAAACAAAGATAAAAAAGCCAGATATAATGCCAATTTTGCAAACTCTTAGATTTTTTCCCAATGCCGGTGCAAAGAAATATTGCTACAATGTCCCTGCTATAAAGGGAGGGAAATATCTGGTGAAAACTATGTATTACTATGGAGGATTTGATGGAGGAGAGGAGCCGCCGGTTTTTGATCAGATTGTCGATGGCACAAAGTGGAGCATCGTGAATACCACAGAGGATTATGCTCAGGGGCTCAGCTCCTACTATGAGGTCATTGTTGCGGCGCATCACAAGTATTTGAGTATTTGTCTAGCGAGAAATGATTACACTGTTTCCAGTCCTTTTATTTCAGTTCTCGAAGTGCATCATCTTGATGATTCAGTTTATAATTCTACCAACCTCAAGAAGTATGCGATGGTCACTGTTGCTCGAAGTAGTTTTGGCTCAGGTGGAAACATCATTAGGTAAATGTTTTACGAAATTCTGTGATTTATATTTCATTTCGTGTTTATAGTTAGTAGAAATTGATTTGTCATTATATGAATTTCTTGCTGGGAGTGGCAGCTACTTATACAATAATGGATTTGATGAGGACCGAGGACTATAGCGGACTGGACAGTTTTGAGGACCAAAAAGAAACAAAAAATCTTGTATATTACACTGTATACCAGATATGTGGGCTAGATTCAGTTGAATGTACACGAAATGCTCTAAGAAAGAAGCAGCAGCTAAGAAGCTAATTAATCAAGAACTGCATTACTAGGAAAGAGTAAAAATTTCTTGATTGTGAAACATTCTGGTTGAGAGACTATAGTAGCTGTAATATTTAGACAAGCAAATTATCTTTGGACAACATGGCATGGATATAAAAATTAACAGTAAACTGCACAAGGGAGAAGTATTTTTGGTCGATTTTCATGTCTATTGTTAATAATTTGTGAATAATGCCTATAATGAATCAGTTTTCCAGATGACAATTTTAATCGATACTGGCATCCCTTTGCGGACCAAAATCCCATTGTTGCAAGTCACTCCAATGTAACTTCTTCCACATTTTGGAACGTCCCACCACAGAAAGCTTTTGCAACAGCACTTACAACGAGCAGGGGGAAGACTCTTACAGTAAGGTGGCCGCCATTTTTCCTCCCTACACGGCGCTACTATATTTCACTATACTTTCAAGATAACCGGACCCCAAGCCCATTTAGCTGGAGAGTTTTCGACATTCATGTAAATAACGAAACTTTCTACAGCAACCTCAATGTCACCACTGATGGTGTGACTGTTTATGGCACCGAATGGCCACTTACCGGGCACACTGAAATTTCCCTGATTCCGAGGAACGATATGCCAGTTGGGCCTCTAATTAATGCTGGTGAACTCTTTCAGCTTATAGTCCTTGGAGGAAGGACTGTTACCAGAGATGGTAAAAGATTAATTTTGAAATCTTACTCTTTTCTTGTTACATGTATTTTTATAAGTTTCCTTGCTTTATTTGAAATTTTTTTGGGTATTCAACAGTGGTGGCAATGGAGGACTTGAAAAAAAGTTTCGACAAACATTTCGAGGATTGGGCTGGAGATCCATGCCTACCAAGAGAGAACCCATGGACTGGCATAGCATGCTCTATTGGAAAATCCATTCGGATTGTCTCCTTGTAAGTTCTCTCGTGTCAATAACAATAGCTATTTGAGCACGATCTCATTGTATAGCCATATGCCATCACAGCCTTATAAATATCTATGACCTGACCTTATATATAGAGCAAACAAAGAGGTATAATTCTTCAGTTTCTTAATCCTACTTCTGCTCTTAACATTTTTTCGGAACGCGTGAAGGAATCTGACAGGGTATGGATTATCAGGGTCATTGCCAAAAAGTATATCAAAGTTAACTGCACTCAAGCATCTGTAAGTAATTCATCTTTCCCGACTGTGCTTCCAGGCTTTTATTAGTCAGCGATTATCTGTTTCATTATCAGAAAACTTCCTTTACAGTTGGCTTGGAGACAATAAGCTTTCCGGTACAATCCCTGATATGAGTGGAATGAACGCTTTAGAAACTTTGTAAGCTCTTCAATTTTCAGCCGTAATCTTCTAAACTAGTTGTGTTTTTAATACCTTAATTACGACCTAATATCTCTACTTCATTTTTGTTTTTAACGTTGAAAAAGGCATTTGGAGAACAACGAACTGGAAGGATCAGTTCCTAAATCACTGGGAGAATTACCTAATCTGCATGAAATGTGAGTTCTTCTGTAGAAAGTCTACACTGCGACGAAATTTTTATGCTTAAAACTGTGTAAATGCTAACTCGCCTTGCTATGGTTAACAGATTTCTCCAAAACAACAAATTCAATGGCAGCTCTCCGACATCTCTGACGAAGAAAGATCGTGTTAATGTTAAGTAAGTCCTAATCTCAGAACGCTTTACAGATTGTTCCGACTAAGTGTTCAGGTTTTAGGATCACCACTAAAAGTAAATGGTTTATGTGATGAACGCTAGTACACCTACAGAAATATCATTCGAATAATGCCGAATTCGATCTTTCTAACCAGTTAAGATGTTTTCTTGTTTTAGGCTCTCTTCTGTAAATCATCTGTCGGAGGAAGAATAATGTAGAACATCAGAAATTACCAAGCGGAAGGTGGCCAGAAGCTTTGGATCGAGCAGTCACCATGGAGAGATCGAAGGGAGAGATATGAATTAATGCTTGTATACTTTTTCCTTCTCATACTGTAACTTGTGCATTGTGAATATTTATCATTCTGCTAATCAACAAGTTATACAAGGCTAAATTGTAAATAGGTGTCTTCCAAAGAAAATATAAGAACTACTTGGCTGTGGAGAAATGTTCTTTAGATATTTAAAATTTTGCTTTTATTTATTTTTATATTGGCTGTTGTGGCACCAATTGCTACTCATTGCCAATGAAAGGAAATGTCATATTTTTGCAGTGAATCCAACCATTTGTGCTAATAAGCTGAGAAGTGTTTTTCTGAATATCGCATGAGAACAATGCCAAATTCGATCTTGAAATGATTGAAGAATGATAACCTTTTGAACCTAGAAAAGGAAATTTCTTATAGATCATCGAAACACATTGCTTCATCAGTGAGTTGCAATGCAACTTATTTGTTTATTATTGTTGACACACAAAAGTTCAGCCCAAATCGGATAGCCCAATAGGAGGATCCCCAAAATCAGATAGCCCAAAGAACGGTCCAATCAGGCAATGCAGGATAAATGCCCAAATAGGGAAGCCCATAAACGAGGTAATATCATCACCCAAGGTTACAAGTTGCCCAAGATTTGAGCGAATGGATTGCCATGCAGTTGCCCAGAAATGTGACCCTGTTCTCGCCCAAACTTTCGAGTCACCCAAGATCTTA